GGGCACAGGCAGGGGGGTGATGTGCGTGGGATGGGGCGGGTGGGCTAAAGCCAAGGCTGTGCTGGGCTCTTCTTGGCAGGGTCTGGGCTTGGGGTGGGTGGTGGTGGTGCTGGGAAGGCGGGGGTGTTGCATCCACCCCAAATTTCACCATAGCTCTCCCCACTCCCAGCGGCACCACCTGCCTGGTACAGCCCTGGCTTTTGCCAGTGCATGGGTGGAGGCAGGGGTTGAGCTGGGGCTGCGCCAGGCAGGCGACAGCAGCGCTGGGAGGAGGGGTTGGGGGGCTATGGCGAAACTTGGGGTAGCTGCAGCACCTAGCCCCCCACCCAGTGCTGCTGCTGCCTGCCCCAAGCCCAGTCCCCGCTGAGAGGAGCTCTGCGCAGCCCAGGCTCCAGCCTGCAGCTGCAGCCCCCCTGCCTTGCCTTGTGCAGACTCAGGGGGAACATACCCCCTTCCCCATGCCTCCTCGGATTAGCCACGGCTCTGTCCTGTGTTCCGTCCCTCCCTGGCTGGGCAGCGCCTGCCCCAGACCCTGTCCTACTCTCTCCTTCGCTGTGGGTGATGTTGATCTGTGCCCCCCCATGCCACTTCCATCTTTCCTTCCCCTTCCATGACAACAGACTGACCAGCTGCACGCAGCTCTCCAAGCTGCCGGCCTGTGCTCCTCGCTGCCTGTGGCTGCGCGCATGCACGGGTATTTATCAGGCCATTTTCCAATACAGCCAATTTCCTTCATACTGGTGCAGATCTGATATTGGACCAATGTATCAGTGCACCTCTACAGATTGGGTACCTATCTGATATGCATGTAAGTGGAGTACACGATACAAATAAAAGCATACTAGGCACTGAATTGTAACAGTTTGTTAAAATGGGGTAACTACAGTGCTGCTAAAGGTTTTGAGAGGGATTTTCCATGTGGTTTTTAAACTTAAAATAGTGACCAGGTATGGCATATCGCAAACTAGAAAGTCTGTTTTCTGAAATTCTATCATTAACTTGGCAGATTTGATGAAAAGGAAAATGTGTCCAACTGCATCCAGTTGAAAACATCAGTCATTAAAGGCATTAAGAGCCAATTGATAGATCAGTTTCCTGTTATTGAACCATGGCTAAACCAAATTATGCCAAAGAAAGACCCTGTCAAAATAGTAAGATGGTAAGTTTCTCTTATAATCTAAGCTTCCAAACTGCCTTGATATTTATTTACTTTGTTTTTTTACTATGCTTCACTGAAACGCAATCTGTTTTGAGAAGCACTTTTCTCTTGGGCATTCTAGATAAGAGTATATGTAAGGTCTTTAATTTAACATATGGTATCTTTTGGATATGGGCATCACAACAATTTGAGAAGGTTAATTTATCAGGTGATCTGTAGAACCAAAATACCATTTGGTAGGAGATTTGCTCTTAAGGAATACTGGATATAATTATTCTAGAGAATCTCTTAGCCGTGTACAAAAAAACCCTTCACATCTTATTTGCTCTTATGTGGATAACTAGATATGGGAGGAGTGCGTTAGGGGGAAGTGGAAAACTGGAGACTCTCCAGGACCAGCATTTTGCTTAAACAGTACCCACACATACAAATTGTTCTAATTTGCAGATGTGGAAGGTTAAATATTTAGACGGAGGTTCCAGGAGCACTTTTTCCCCCCCTCCCTCTCCTCTACTTTTGGACTTCTGTGTATGATTCAGTTGATTCTATTTTTATACAATGTCTAGTATATTCATGCTTGCTTTTCACTATAAAATGTTAAATGTTTATAAACAGAGAAGCTAAACTTAGTGACTGAAGGGATGCAGGGGATGTGTATCATTGCTGAGGAGAGAATATACTGAAGGACACAATATACAAAGTTAACAAGAAAATTTGTGACTTGCAGAGAGATGCAGGAAGGATTGATTTCTATGAAATATTCTGTCAATAAACATTACCCTAAAGGATTAATTGACTATTAGAATAACTCTTTTATCTTGCAGCCATGAACATATAGAAATCCTCACAGTAAATGGAGAATTGCTGTTCTTCAGGCAAAGAGAAGGGACTTTTTACCCGACGCTAAGGTTACTTCACAAATGTAAGTCTACTGGGCATTGCCAGAGGGAACATAGTGTCCGTGAGGTACCTGGGTAGCTGCTGTAATGACCATAGGTCACAAAACTTTCAGTTACATCTCGCACTTAAAACAATAAAAAAAAAAAAATACAGGAATGGCTCACTTCAGTAATGTAAAGGTGAAAAAAGACCCACCACATCACTTGCATCTTTCTGTGTCAATGCAGGCTTGTCCCCTCTAGAATGTTTGTACAGTTTTGGGCAATTAAGTTCTTAAATATCCAAGTTTCCAAAATTTACTTGGATTGAAGATAGTGATGTTTAAGAACTATATTGGGCAGAGCATTACAAAAATTCTTGAGAGATTTTCCTGCAATTTGGTGTAAACTTCGTATAATTTCATCCCCTTCTTCTTGGTTGTATCCTCTTTTATTCTGCCCAGTGTTTTGTTAGAACCTTTTTGTTTCTTTTAAATAGTTATAAGTGGCTACCACAAAAAAATGCCCTTGAGTGCTTTTTCTGTGGAGATGATGATCAAGCTCTTTCCCTTCTTGCCCCTTGTTCTGAAACATCTGAATCCATGCCTTGGATACTTTGGCTGCTCTTCTCTACATTTCTTGTTTATATTATCCTGGTAGCAAAGGATAACCTTGCCAAGAGCACCTAAATTCAATGAGATTTCGGCTTGTAAGTAAGTTGGGCCCTTCTGGACAATTCCAGTAAAGTTTTCATAACTCTTTGCAATATTCTAAGCATGGCTTGGCAAGAGTTAGCTACTTCTGTGGTACTTGTCTTTCCTTTCCACTTCTGTCTCCCTCTGAATCTTTGCAAGCTTCATGGTTTGGATCCTGACACATTTAGGCTTTAGTTTTTATTCAGAAGAGGACTTGTTTTTGTGAGGTGACTGTAGCAGTGTTAAGCACTTATGTAGCAATGCTGTCAGGAAACCTTACCAAAATTGTTGCCTTTTGTGTTGATCTGTGTGGGAGATTTGTGTTTGGCTGCTTTCCTAGTCTCCTCCAACAATGTGTAGTGATAAATCTCAGATTTCTACTGCTCTAATACCTTTGATTGCATGTAGACCATGGAGGTGTTGAGCGACGTGAATAATTGATGTTGTGGTGATATTTAATACTTGATTTCCTTCCTCCCCCATCCTTTCTAGATCCTTTTATTTTACCACATCAGCAAGTAGATAAAGGAGCCATTAAATTTGTACTCAGTGGAGCTAATATAATGTGTCCTGGCTTAACGTCTCCTGGAGCAAAACTTTACCCTGCTGCTGCTGATACGGTTGTTGTATCCTTCTTTGGTCAGGTATACTTTGTTTGCCATGAAACGAGGGAACTTTCTACTTGTGTATTCAATATTTTAATATGAATTGTAATTACTTTTGTTTTTTGCTAACTTAAGAGTGTCTGGTAATTTGCTAAGGGGTAGAGGCATTGGACCATTGTTGATGCAGAGTGAATGAGTTGTTTGGGTTTGGGGACACAAGAAAAACTGTAGTAATGAGTGTGACTTTTATCTAAATGCTCACAAACAGCCAGGATCCTGTTTCACTAATCTAAAACAAATATTTTGATGGACAAATTGGCCCCAACATTAAATCAGCCAAAGCAGCATAAAGAGAAACAAGAAAGGAGAGATTGAATTGACTCTGTAAAAGCTAGTGAAAAGATACTAGTCATAAGCCTTGCTCAGCCACATAATGAAGGGATCCTGATGCCACTGAAGTTGACATTGTTTGTAATTAATCTCATTGGAGCTGGGAATTTGCTCCATGCCTCCTGCTGGACTGCAGCATATATGAAGGGGAAAGGTGGTAGCTAGCCTTGATGATCTCAAATGCCTCTAATGTTCTGCAGCTTTTAGTAAGTCTTTTTTTTAAAGCAGGATTAGTTAGCATATCACAGTGTTGGCCCTGATGAAAATGAAGATTTATCTGACTTATTTATGGGTAATGTTTCATTTCTGTTCTCCTGACAAGGAAACCTAAAATGATGTCCCAGGTATAGGTACATTATTTTTCTAGGAGGGGAAAGGAACCTTGTTTTTTCTCTGTTGGGCAGAGGAGGCAAGGATGACTGTTACGTTTTATATAATTCTTTTATTTAATTGTCATTCGAAGATGGTAACAGCTGCAGGTATCTTGTGCATGATGATTCGGCAGTCTAATATACTTAAAATATTTGAGAATATGAATGCTTATGTTAAAGGGGCAAGAGTTCAGTTGCACTCCTCTGCAAGGTATTTCTTCTTTTGTTGCTTTTACTTTGCAGCGAGATGCCGTTCTTTAAAATCTGTTTTCCTTAGCTGTAGCATGTAGGCAATAATGGCAGAAGGAAAACAACATGCACTGTGTGTTGGAGTCATGAAGATGTCAGCTGAGGACATGTAAGTCTTACAACCTGCTGTTTGTCATAATCATAATCCTCCGTTCTTTGTGGAATGGAGAGGTTGTGCTAAGGGTTTCTAAGTTGTTTCTGCACCACCATATTTTCAAATACAAAACTCATTGAGGCCTCTCTCATGGGAGTCATTTTAAGTATGGGGAATTAAAAAAAATATTTTCCCTATATCTGCAGGATAAAATCTCAGACTGTGTGTGTATGCCTTTTGTTTGAGAAAAGTGGAGAATAAAGCTTCTTCTGTCACTTGACTGGTATTGGCTTGCTAATTTCCATTGCTTGACTTTTTTTGTCAAGACCTTGGAGCATCTCTACATGGAATGCTTGTTACCTGATGGGATATTGTGTGCTGAGCAAGAGCTGTAATTTAGGATCTAGGAGAGTGATTCCTCAACCAGGGTGCCATGGCAGACTGGGTCTCATAGACAGCATTTTAACGGTGCTGCTGGGAAAGAGGAGATAAGTAAGATAAGCACAGGCTCTGGTGAGGAGATAAGTATAGACTCTTTCCTTCCAGCTACTTCTTCTCCCCCCCACCCCGCCCCCTCCACTGTAGCACAGGCTTCTCCATGCTAGCTGCTTCTCTTCCTTCCCAGCCACTGTTCAACTGAGTAAGCGCTGTAATAAATATAGTTTTTGAAATTAGGGTACTGCTCAATTTATAAGTTATGGAGGGGTGCCTTGAGTTTAAAAAAAAAAAAGGAAAAGAGGACCACTGATTTAGGAGGCTGGAATCCATCATGCTGATATTATTGTGTGTACGAAGATTAGGAGTCCCACTGGCCCTTCTCTGCGACTTGTCCTTATTCTTTGTTCTGCACCTTGTTCATCTCCTTTGCATGGCATTCATCCTTGTGCTGATTAGGTAGTTTGGCTAAGCTCTCCTGAAACTCAGAGGCCCATTCAAGGGAGAAAATAAAGGGGAAAAACCTACTAGAGGAAGCATGAAAGAGAATGTGAAAAGAAAGGGGACATTTCTTCTAGTTGTCAAGGCAGGCTGAGGAAGGTATCTCTTATTTCTGAAGTACAATTATTGTTAAATTTCCAAAAGTGCATAAGTGACTTGGGAACTTCTGAATTTCTCCCTATTTGCTTATTTAATACTTCATATGTTTATACTGTCCTATAAACAGCCCTGAGACGTGGGTAGATACTGCAACTTAGGGGAAGATGTGTCCTGGTCCGTGGTCTGCAGTGACTTTGGCAAATCATTGAACAATGTTGGAGCTAGAGCACAGATTGCCTACTTGCTAGCTCAGTGCTCTTAACAGCTGACACTTCCCTGACCCCACGAGATAAGTAGAATAGAAAGGAGAAAAGAAAGTAAAGAAAAGGAGACTAGACATAACCCAGACACTGTGCAGGGTTATGGCTGTGCTTTGTTTCGTCATCTGCTGTTGACTTTTACTGTATTGCTGTCTCACCATTTTGGTGGTTGTGCACTAGAAAGCAATGCTGGAAGGTTGTTAATTGCTTACGGTTGGGCAGATTAATAGATTAATGGGGCAGTTGCCTCCGAAGTGAAAGTCTCCAGAGGTCCCCATTTTAATTCTGAAACCTGGAATACTTGTGTGTGCTGTCCTGCTTCTGATTAGCAGTAAAATCCTATGCATCACCTGTTTTAAACTAATGGAGAGGAAATTAATGCAAACGGCATGATTTTTGTTACTCCGTTTTGATTTAATATAAGACTTTAAGCAACAATAATATCACATCTCTAGCACCGGGCAGATTTCAAGTGCTTTTGTTAGTGCTTGTAATTGACTTTCAGGGGGTAGTTACCTTCATTTTACAAATAGGAAGCTATTGTGAAGTAGTTTGTTTGTAACCATGGTTTTAGTAGCTCAGCTGAAATTAGAAATTGCAAATGCAGGATTCCAGTGATGTGTTCAGTTTGAGACCTTGCCACCAAGTGTTCCGTCAATTGGTTATAATTTAGTAGAAAATAAGCAAGTATTAGAGTTGAATGAGTAACAAGGCCCTATGTTGGCCTTGGCTGTCTGAGCTGTTGGGGTCCTAAGTGAAAGATTTAATTCTAGACAAGAGTCAGGAGCCAAGATTTATGTCACTAGGAAGAAGGATGGTCATAGGTCACTGCTACTGCTTGATGCTTCATTAAGGAGACTAAGAACATGGGCTTTGGAGGACGCTGCACATTTCCCCCTTTTCAGCAAGAAAGGAGGATGATGCCGTGGAAATTTAGTATGGGAAGTGGCATATAGATCCACAGGCATATAGATCTATGCACTTTATGGACAGAATGGATGTCCATTTGGTGATGCAAATAACCTGATTAGTAAAACTGTTCACCTGAAGTGAAGCCTAATGTTCATTGCTAAGGATGCAGTCTTTGCTCTACTTTCCTGCAACACTGCACTGCTAAAAAAAAAATAATTGGGAACTTAATCTTATCACCATACTTCTTCTGTCTCTGGTATATCATCCATTTGATTCCTACCTCAGGGTTTATTTTTCCATTGAGTACTTTTAAGGTACTTAAAGGCAAGTTCAGGATATGTTGAAAAGGTGGTATACTATTTTTAACATGATTGCAAACTAATAAACCTGCCTCTACACTTTTCCCTTCCTTTCACAGTGAGAAAGTCAACAAAGGGATTGGCATTGAAAATATTCATTATTTAAATGATGGCCTTTGGCATATGAAGACGTACAAGTGAAACAAAAGAAACTGTGCAACTCCAAAGGAATGCACTTAGATTAAATGTGGACTGCTTCGTAACTCCTTCTGTTTTTAATGTGACTGAATGTACAAATTATTTTGTTCTGTGGCTATGCTAAATAAATCAAGTGAATGCTAACATATTGCTAGCTGCAATAGTTTTCTAGCGTTTATTACAATCCTTGAGCTTTTATGCTAAACCTATCTTCTCAACGTTTTTGAAGATTTAAAAAAAAAAGTGCATTCATGAACGTAAATAGAATATTTCCTGTGAAGAGAAGTCAAGAGAGAGAATTCAATGCTCTTTCCTAGCCAAGTAATAAAAATTGGGTGTAACCTATATCCTAATACTGTTCCACAACTCATTTGCCTCTGTTAACAGATGATTTAGATTGTCTGTTATACAGTTCCTAAATTTTGAACATATAAAATAGACTTTAAAAAAAGCCTTATACTTTATTAACTATGATTTAATTTATTGTTAAGCATTTATCAGCTTGAGTAGATTTATGTTAATAGTTTTGTTTTCTTTTCAAGATGCAGGCAGTCTATAGGATTTAAAGCAAATGCACTGTATATAGATGTGATTTTCCTCTGGGGGTTCATATTTGGGAGATACAGGGTGTCACAAATCCTCACTTACTACACAATGTTTGAGACTGACCAATTTCCAGAGATAACAAATTTGTGGTGGCAGTGGGCAACTTTTAATGGCTTCTGTTTTGTAAATACTAGCTAGTTGTCTAATAGACTTTAGGATCTTTACATGTTTTGGGTTGCTGTCCAGCAGATATGATATCAAAATATAATGATAACTGTTTTACAGAAACTGTTAGTATTTCTGGGTCAGGTTTTGAAATGGATCTCAATTAGACTCCAATTTAACCCAACTCATGAATGGTCAACGATTATTTTACTTTGGTATACATACAGAAAGAGGCTGCATCCTGGAACCATTTCAGAAGGTAAATTTATCACCACTCATGTAATAACTACATGGCTTTGGAAGGATTTATAATTACAGATCTGTAACTAATAATATTAGAGATGCAGGTTTCAATGTTTATGAAGGAGCTTTTGTTAGTGTTGTCTGCATGTCTATCACCTTTCCCAAGAACTAGTGACAGAATTACCCTTTACTTATTCTAAAGTTTCCTTAAATATATTACCTAACATGCTACTTAGAATCTTCAAATCACTTTAAAGAATTTACTTCCAAAAAGGAAAGCTTAAGTGCTCTAGCTATACTCCATTAGCAAAGGAAAAGGAATGAAAGCTAGAAAACTATGGTGGTTACCACAGCAGCACTGGTGAAAAAGAAAAGTTCTTTTTCATGCTAACTTCTTATTTTAAAAGAGAGGTAATTTGGTCTTCAAGTTGCATAATAAATCTTCACTGACCCTTATGAGTATGTGGGATTATATTATGTGCCTCTGTGAATTCATTTCCGTCTGCGCTAGTGAATTTATGAAGCCAGATTTTTTTTTTTCCCTTCTTAATATGAAAACCTCTTAAACGTGGCAGTGGGGTAGACCGTTCTAGGGGATAGTAGAGTTAACTTTTTGCCTTTTGACTCCTGTTGCTGGAGCAGGACCATTTCTTTCTTATTAATGTTAAAACTAAATCTTCACTTAAGGCTGGGCAAAGGAAGTAGGGGTTAGAAGAATGGACTATAAGGTGGATAGAAAACTAGCTGGATCATCGGGCTCGGAGGCTATTAATGGCTTGATGTCTAGGTGACAGTTGGTATCAAGTGAAGTGCCCCAGGGGTTGGTCCTGGGGCTGGTTTCGTTCACTATCTTCATCGGTGACCTGGAAGATGGGAAGGGGTTGCACCCTCAGCAGGTTTGAAGATGACACCAAGCTGGCAGGAATAGTAGATATGCTGGAAGGTAGGGCTAGGATTCGGAGAGACCTCAATAAACTGGAAGATTGGACCAAAAAAATCTTGTGAGGTTCAATTAGAAGTGCAAAGTCTTGCGCTTAGGGTGGAACAATCCCATGCACCGTTGAGACAGGCTGGGGACTGATTGGCCAAGCAGCGGCTCTGTAGAAAAGGATCTGGGGGGTTACGTTGGACAGTAACTGAATAAGCCAACAGTGTTCTCTTGTGAAGAAGGCTAACAGCACACTGGGCTGCATTAGTAGGAGTGTTGCCAGCAGATTGAGGTAAGTGATTCTTCCCCTCTATTCTGCACCCGTGAGGCCACATTTGGAGTACAGCATTCAGCTTTGGGCCCCCTGCTATAGAAAGGATGTGGACAAATTGGAGAGTCCAGTGGAGGACACCAAAAATGGTGAGGGGGTTGGGGGACATGATTTATGAGGTGAAGCTGAGGGAACTGAGTTTATTTAGTCTGGAGATGAGAAGACAGAGCAGATTTAATAGCAGCCTTCAACTGCCTGAAGGGAGGTTCAAAAGAGGATAGAGCTGGGCTGTTCTCAGTGGCAGCAGACAACTGAACAAGGAGCAATGGGCTCAAGTTGCAGCAGGAGACGTTTAGGTTAGATATTAGGAGGAGCTTTCTCACCAGAAGGGTAGTAAAGCATGAGAACAGGCTACCCAGAGAGGTTGTGGTATCTCCATCCTCAGAGGTTTTTAAGACATGGGTAGAAAAGCCTTGGTTGGAATGATCTAGTTGGGGGTGGTCCTGCTTTGAGCAGGGGTTTGGATTAGATGTGACCTCCTGAGGTCCTTCCAACTCTAATTTTCTGTGATTCTATGAAAGGGAGAGTTAACTGGGCATGTCCCCTGCCCAAGAGATTATTTTATCAGTAACTCGGTTGAATTTGTTCCAAAGTGTCTACAAGCAAATAATTTAAAGATATCAGTTTAAAAGTACAGTCCTCATGCTGCTGAAACTAGGTGCAAGCTAGGCCTTGGATTATAATGTGGTTTTACCCATTAACATTAAAAACCTGAGTGAAGAAAACAGCTGCTCAACCAATCCCTGATAAAGATGCCAGCTCTAAAAGGGCTGCCTTTGACAGCTGCATATTCTGTGTAGCTGGGGTGAGAGGGGTGAAATATGGCAGCTACTCTCATAATGATGTTGGACACTTACAGAAGAGCTACACATGGCTGAGGCGATTCTACAACCAACAAATGCTTGTGGTAGTGTCTTCATATTCCAAAGTAGTGACAGAATCTTCATCTTGTGGAACTGCTGTGGGCTGGGTAAGTGACTTTTAAATAGAAGAAATTTCTATTTGGTGCAACTTAATTATTACAGGGGACTGTAGTGTTTGAACCTGCTCAAATATTAAGTTAATGTGTAATTTAACCAAGAGTAACAGCAGTGAGTTCCACACATTAGCATGTCTGTTAGACGACACAGCTTCTTTAAATAGATCTAACAACCAGGCTGCAACTGGAAGCTGTGCTTTTTTCTAATTCTTGCATAAGCCATAACTGTTAACGTATTTCAATAGACTCTAGCTCCTCTCTCCATAATACCATAGATATCATATTCTTAACAGGAGTGAAAACTTTTTTGCTATTATGTAAGCTAAAGTCACACAAAGCTACCCAGTAAGGTGGTGGTAGTCTCACCGTAGTTGCAATTCAAAGGAATCCTGAAGATTTAATTAATGAACATGTATAAACACTATATGGCAAACTGTACATGAATGGGTTATTAAAATGGTTTTTACTCTGTTCTGTAATTGAATCACTCTTTGAATCTAGATACATTATCATTACATTAAGAATCTTTACAAGTCAGAGGATGAGCCAACCAATTAGTAACTTATTAGATCTATAGATAAAATGGACTATGAAAATGCAGCTACAAAAGCTGTCACATGAGACAAGTGACAGGAAACAACAGCTGCACTATTTTCTCTCTTATAAAATGTATATATTTCCATTAACTTTCACAGATTTGAGTGTTATGAGAAACCAGCTTTGATCACTGGCTGAAGCTGGCTTTGTCTGAAGTTTCTTGTGTACCAGCACTTGAAGGCTCCTATGATGCTAGGAAGACCCTTTTTCTTTTTCTTTTTTTTGGTAAGGAGCAGGCAGACAGAGTTAGAAAGTAAACTTGAACTATATCACAGCAGTTGTAAAAATTAATTAAAAAATTCTAAGATGTGAAAGTAGGTCATAATCGTATTCCACGTAGTGACATTAAGCTTCACAGCATGTGCTACCTATTTCTCTGTGCCATTATCAGTAGATCTTATTAGCTTACAGTAATACAAAGGAAGTCCCCTTTAATCCTCTTGTTTCTGTAGTCAGGGCCTTGATCTTTTTATAGAAGTGTGAATCCACCATGTTTGGCCGGGCACTTCTCTGAAGGTGCTGATAGGCCTACAGTCATTTCCAGTACTTATCCTGAGGATGGGAAAAGGTACACGTGTTATGGGACAGAAGTGAGGAGTACTAATGCAGGTAATGTCTATTACAATATGGAATGAAAGGTGTAGCAGCAATGCTTCAACTCTGTTGCCTTTAATTGGAACACAAGGTTTAAACCATTTAAAGCTTCCACAGCCAAGAAAATGTCACAACTCTCTTCCAAGAGCAATCCCTGAACTGAGGAGGAACAAAAAACAGATTTCTTTTGTGCAGATTGTTTTCCCTATATCCTGCTGAGGTATAAACAGGTATTTTAGAAAGGCTCAGTAGCAATACCACGCCATCTTGGGTGCATACTCTGATATGCATCTCATGGGAGTGTACATGAAAGTACACAGACAAGAATAAAGACATGTACGTCTTCCTTTAAAACTAATTCTATCTAGTCAATTGGTGGATACTGCAACCCTGACATGGTACTTCTGAAGTGGATGTTTCTTCACATTTACTGTCTGCGTAAGAATGGAGTAGTTTGCTATCATGTCTATTCTAGAATAGACAACTGCTCCAGGCTCTACAGTGAAAGAAAGAGTTTGAAATTGTAGTTTACCAAATCTTCATTTTTGTTTTTATTTGTGTCATAGAAAGATATAAAGATTTTCAAGAAAATACCTTGAAGTTCAAAGGATCAAAAATCTTGCAAAAATATATTTAAATTACAATAGATTAAGATTCATTTGAATTTTCATTTATAAATATGTACATATACAAACACCCCATATAAATTTAAATTTATCACATAAACATTAACAGTACCTTTAACATTTCATTCCAACACTGTCAAAAGCCAGAAACATTTTTGTATAAAAAAAGACTTAAAAAAAAAGAGACCTCCTTTTCTACTTAAGAGTATTACCAAACCTTGATGTGCAAAAAATATACCCATGCCCTCAAATATGGAAATTGCACCAGTGTGTACAGATGCGAGTTGCATTATTCATTAACCACTGCATGTTCCAACAATGCATCCATCTTTTCTGCAGAGATCAGTCATTGTCTGAGTCTGCTGGAGGTAAGAAAATTAGTGCATCATTGAAGTCGTGCCCATATGCTCGCAGCCTGTAGACACCATACATCATTACGTGCATATGGTTTGGAGCCAGTCCATTGAAAGTGATGGCCATGTCGGAACAGCACCCTTCTACTACCTGTTGTGGGTGGTTAGACATTGCCTCTTTGATAAGTGAGCCAACTGATTTGGTGTTAAAGACATCTTTTCCTTCAGAATCTTCTGCATTTTCAGCAAATACTCCAGTGTACTTCAGACAGACTGCCAGTTGTTTGTCCTCTGAGAGCTTCCAAATCATACCTCCCTGCTCTGGGCACTTATCTGGGTCTTCAAAAACTTTGGAGAGTCGTCTTAGTGACTCGATACTTAAAACAATCCCTCCCTCACCGTCGACATACTCGAGGTCACCTGATTTTACAGTATGACCTATATAAAAAGGCTGTGATGAATCTTTCTTGAGCAAGAAATATTTAAGATTTTCTATGATGGCAAATGTAGTCGGATATGCCAGAAAGAACCAGTTGTACTCATCTTTATAGTGGCCGTAGGCTAATTTATAAGCTTTCCTCATCATTGCCCACATGTCATCTGTGTTAAGAGCGATAGAATCAAACACCTTCACTTTTTCAGAGCTGTAGAATTCTGCCTTGTCGCAGTGTTTGCTCCAGGTTTCTTTCACTGCAGCCCATTGTCCAAGATCCTTAGGTTTCACAAGGATAATACAATAAACACGGATGCTTTGACTGAGTTCCACGCGCTCCACTTCAGACAGATTAGACACATCTTCCTGGTTCGGGGCTTGGATGTGATGGTGCTCGTGGTGACGTACTTTAGTCCAATAACCTGTCTTTATGTGTCCTAGGAACGTGACCAACACGCAGAAAATCCCTCCCAATAGCACGCCTTTCACGAAAGAAGTGCTTTCGGAAATCATTTTTCCTGGAAAGGAAAAACACCTTCGGATATTACACCAGAACTTCTACTAAGGTCTATTCTCCACAGCATGTCAAACTGTTAACCTGGCACCATGGACTCAATTACTTTCAAGCTGCGG